CACTTGCCGGCCGGGCTCTGTTCCCCCGGGACACGAATGGAAGCCCGTCTCCCTCGCAGATGGGCACCTCGTCGGCTTCGCGCCTGCGCCTGGATCCCGTGTTGCCACACGCATTCATCAATTTAAGAAAAAAAATTTTTTTTAAAAAAAAAAATCAATATTTCCTTCGTAAAACCCAGAAGTATCCATGTCCAAACCTGTAAGCTTAGAAAAAAAAGTCAAAGCAGGGGAAAAAACTAATATGGCTCAAAACCCAATATGACACATATGTACCCTGTAGTCATCCTGTTACAGTCTTGAACGCTGCGTGCAACAGAAATCATTTACAGCTCGATCTGCTGGTGGTAACCAAAGCATGTGTTGCCGTCACCGCTGGCATGAACCCATCTGCACCCCCCTGTTCAGCACAAGGCGCACGCAACGAGTTCCCCCCAAGCACGCACCCCCACCGCCGGGCGGTGAGGGAAAAGGAGTGTCTCCGTTTTGGCGGTGTGCTGCTGCCAAGGATGGCTGAAATGCTGCTGCTGGCACCCACGTAGTACGGCATTCCTCCAAGGGGGAATTCAAACCATTTGTTTCATATTTCAGGCCTGACTCAGGACGTGCTGGGCGCCAGGCAGCATTCCCCGGGTGGTGGTGCAGGGGCTGATAGCCCTTAGTGCTGCACCCACCGCCTGCGCTGGCTGTCCAGCTGCCTCCGAAGGAGGCATCTCCTTTTGTGGGTCATATCCCAAGACCTGGATGCACTAAACGCTTGTTTGGAGCCATCCTATCTGACTAAAATGAACATTATTGTTTGAAAAATGTCTAAAGAGTCATAAAACACCCAGCTATACCATTTGCTGAGATGTGCTGGGAAGTTTTCCTTGAAAATCACAAATCAGAAGTTTTTCTTCATTGCTGATACATGGTGCCTCAATGCACCGGGAAACACTGTCCATTTGCTTTATGGTTTTGGACTTTAGTCACTTAAGATTCCTGTGCCTATACTCAGCACAGGTCCTACTTACACAGTTAGGTGGGAAGCCATTGCTATTAAGTAGGAAAACAAGATAAGCATTGCCCATTCAATTCACGATGTAGCAGAGGAGGCCCCAAAATCTTGTTGAATTTAGATACGAGAGTGGTATGAGCCACACCAGCCAGTGACGTCTGTGTAGATGATGGCCGTGCAAGGGAGCAGGCCTGATGTCACCTGTGAGGTTGTCCAAATCTGGCCAGGCACAGACCAACTTCGCTCTGCTTTGAAGGTGTCTCCTCTTCCTCAGGGCTCAGAGGGGCTCTCCTAATAAAAAGAATAATGGTATTTTTAGCAGAATATTGAGGCGTGTGGGGAATCAATCACACATGGAGAACTGGAAGTAGATCAAGTAATGTTACGTGCCGTAAGCGCTCTCTGAACAGAGCTGGTACATACTGTGTGCACTTAATTACCGGTATGCCATTAGCCAAGGTCTCCAGCATGGCTGTGCTGAAGCTCTAGCAGGACACAGTATGTCACCGGAGGATGGTTTTGCTTGACTGTTTTGATTCATGAAGCACTGCTGAATTATCTTGCAGGGAAGAAGGCCATCTGCTGAACGAGGAGACAACAGCCCCCACCACCTGGGAGTTTAACTCACAACGAGCTGTGTTCCACCCTGACGTGACAGATCCTGTAGCTGTAGGATGGCTCAAACGGCGTGCGTTTGGCTCCACGCAGTGGTTCGAATCTGTACAGCTGCCACAGATCAGACTTCTCTGATTTTTCAAGAGTCCCAGTAAAAAGAAACGGGTGTCAGTTTGAAGCAGTGGTTTTCACTGGCCCACAAGAGCGGTTTTGGTTTGTGAACTCCTCCAGCCACTTTCCAGTAGATGCAGAAGTTTAAGCTGGGTTGAAATTTGTCATATAATCACTTTGCTTTTCTTAGTCACCTCCCCTCATCCCATAGATGATATTCACAGACCACTCTAGGGCCTGCTGGCAGCGTGCTGACAGCCTCTGCTTCGTCAACGATCAAGAAGATCAAGTGTGTACAAACACGTTATATGGCCGTTCTCTGCATTCAGAGTTGCCAGAGTTTTCTTAGACTCTCTGCAGTGGGATGGGGGTTGAGGCAGGGCCAAATAGAAAAGGAAAAGAACAGAAGGGAGCAAAGCCAGAAGGAAAGCGAGCCAGCAAGGATTCAAGTAGGCAGTGGGAGAGGTACCTGGGACAATGCAGAGAATATTTGCCACCATGGCTTGTTGGAGTGCTCCCAACCATATAGGGGCTGCACTGTCCCAGGTGGCTTGATGAGAGACAAGGATATGTTGGCATCATACAGGATTTCACTTATTATGTGGGAAGTTGGCCATACCAGCAGTCATCTGAACCGCCTACCCACAAAGTCCTCTGCAGCCAGGTAAGTCAACAAGTCAGCTGCTGCCAGCCCAGCAGCAGATGTGGACTTGAGTCCTCAGCTGGAGGGAAGGAAGTTCTTTTGAGCACTACATGACCCAGTCCCTTGGTCTTCTACATGCTCACACAATATGCCCATTTTCTTTTACGAAAGAGGTAGTTGCAATTGTCTGTGAGACCAGTGTAATGCTCCTAGGTAAAACAGCAGCCGCAGGAATAGTTACACACTCACGTCCCCCTAAAACTAGGCAATTTCATAAAGGAAAAGAAATTTGACTTTTTCTTAAGCTCTCTGCACAGCTGCAACTGCTCAAAAAAGTCACTAACTCTCACATTTCACAAGCAAAGTGGTTTCAGCTGTTGCTGCAGCATCTCATGCTGGTTGCTGATAAGAAGCATCCAGCTGCCACTAGCAGCCTGGAGTCCCAGGTAGGATGGGCTTCTCCTTCCCTATGCCCACACTCAGCAGTTGTGAGCAGCTCAGTGCTGCTCTGCCTTCCAGCATCCCTCTCGCTCATCTGCCCTCCATTAGACACAGATATTGGGGGAACAACGGGGAGCAGCTGGCCAACCACCCACAAAGGGGGAAATGGGGCCACGCACCTCCCAGGCTCCTGCTCTCCTCCCCAGGAGCTGCCCTGTCCTCACCAGGATGAGGGTGGCTTCCCAGAGGGGGATTGCAGCAGCGGTGGTGATGTTTCACAAAGAAGGGAATTGCATTCACCTCAGGAGCTGGGATATGGAGAGGGACTGAGCTTTCCGCACCAGCACAAGACTGGCTGCAGCCCTGGCCAACGCAGTGAAAGGTGGCAGAAAGACCTGGGCCATCCTGCAAAATGCAGCTGCCCTTCCCAGCTCCTTACGGTGCTGAAACACCAGCCCTGGATCAGCCCGGTTGTGTCATGGAGCTTCACACCTTGGGTGCAGGTGTTACCACTGCAGCATGTCACCTTCCTCCTCCTCAGGCACCAACAATTTTCTGGCTTTTATAAAACAAAGGAGCAGGGTCATGGCTAATTTCAGATGCGTTTCCCTGTAGGGAACCCACTAGGCTGCAGCTTGTAGCGACCCCTCCCTCCCCAAACATTTAGATAAAATATTGCAACCTCTAAAAGAATAATCTTACAGACAAACATTTAGGACCTCTCATAGCTCGCACTAGCCTACCTATTAATAGTCGCTGCATTTTCACAGTAGTAGGGGGGGTAGGAGCCCATACATTTAGAACCAGAGAAGGCAGGCTCTCTATACCAAGCTAATCCCTTTTCATGCTGTCGGGTCTACAATACAACTAAGCAGCTTTAATTCTCATTAGCAAAGTGCTGCAGTACAGGAGAGCCATTTCATTTCTCTCTAATGCACTACAGCAAAAATCTATCTAGAACTGCTAGATAATTGGCAGTTATTTTCTTCTAAAGATTTCCGCAGATACAGAAGAGTCTCGATTTCAGGCAATTTGCAGACTCTTCTTTGAAACCAAGATGATGCATTTTCCTGGTTTATTTGGTTCTTCCCCATTTCTCTCACCCACTTGCTATTGTCACAAAAGGGGGAGAGGGGAAGGAAAGCAGGAAGAGCCAGGCAAAAATACGCAAATCCCAGAAGGAACAAAAATCCGAATACTTGTTATAACTTTTTTTCTGGTAGCTGTTTCCCTAGGGGTTAATGCCACTTCAGCAGCAGTTTTTGAGAGTCATGGGGAACCTGAAAATTCCCCCCCCCCCAATAAAGCTGTCTGTTGTTGCTGTAGCCAACTATACAGTCATCATCTTTTCCTCTTCTTTATATCCTCTAGATGGTGCTTGTGTATCACTTTCTACACAAAATAAATCATGCTGCTGCTAATCAAGTTTGGAAATGGAGCTGAAGTGCTGTAGTACAGATCACTAGGAGCAGAGGGTTGTGGTGGACACCCTGGGTGGTTACCGGTCCAAGCCCCCACCAGAGAAAACAGTTGTCCTCAGCCTCTTCCCAAACGTGAGATACAGGACAGAAAAAAATCCTATGGCACATTTTTCTGGAATTGATGAAGACTAAAATCTGATTGTATTTCCTCTGTACCACACCTTAACACAGTGGTAGTGCACAAGGGTTCACCCTTTCTGTGCTCACTCGTGTCCAGTGTTAACTGGAGTTACAGAGCACATAGGACATCAAGTATACGTCTATAAAAGTACATGGGAAACAAAAGATTCTTGATCAAACTGTCATTTCCCAAATGCCAGAGCACCATGCTTTTCCATGAACAACACTGCCAAAGCTTGCAGCTTACAGCAATCCCAGCAAAATGGGAGCATGCCTCTGGACCACAGGAACAGAGGAAATTTCAGCACAAGAGGCTGGTGCAGGGAGGGAAAGCAAGCAGTGTTCTGCCTCACGAGCAGAGAAAGTGGGTACCTCTGGGTCTATTTGTCAGGAAAAAAAATCCATCCTGGAAAGAAAAAAACCCTCCCCTCAATCCTTTATTATTCCACTCTTCACTCTGGTTCAGTACACAGACAGGCCTAGAAGTACTGAAACGTAACAGAAATTAAATTCTGGCCACCCTTCTCCTTTACTCAATTTCAACACTATTAATTTAGTTTTGGGATAACCAGTATAGTAGTTTCCTCAGCCCAGCCTTCTCTACCTGTGCCCACCTGGAACCAAGTCATTTTTGTTTCCTCTTTTGCATTTACGCTCTTCAAATATTTGCAGACAAGCAACCCAGCTAGCCTCTGTTTGGACTCCTTATCTCA